ATGCTTGCCATGTCAAAGGAATCCACAGTGCTTTGCTGGTTATGTATTTAAAACATACACATGCAGGAGTGACTTTGCCATGGCAACGTGGCCATAGGTGAAAGTAGAATAGAGCAACTTAGCACAAGAAAATGATTCAGCTGCAACTGAAAGATAAGTTTTCAAGGTAACTGTAATGTGAAATCAGAATTCTGAATCAATTCAGGTCTGTCCCCTGACTGGAGAAAAGTACCCAGAAAAACCCTTTCAGTGACTGCAGGGTGAGCTGCTTACCATCTGCAGTCGTTCTTATTTCTGCCTGCAGCTCCTGGCCAAGATCTATTCTATGGCAGACAAATTCTTAGGAGTAAAAAAATTGCTTCATCAGGAAGCACAGAGTAAAATGCTCCACCACTATGAGTCTTAATACAGGCTCATTTCCCAACATGGGGAAACTGCTTAAAGAATCATAGAATCATAGAATAGTTAGGGTTGGAAAGGACCTTAAGATCATCAAGTTCCAACCCCCCTGCCATGGGCAGGGACACCTCGCTCTAAACCGTATTACCCAAGGCTTCGTCCAACCTACCCTTGAACACTGCCAGGGATGAAGCAGTCACAACCACCTTGGGCAACCTATTCCAGTGCCTCACCACCCTAACAGGAAAGAATTTCCTCCTTATATCCAATCTAAACTTCCCCTGTTTAAGTTTTAACCCATTACCCCTTGTCCTATCACTACAGTCCCTAATGAAGAGTCCACCCCCAGCATCCTTATATGCCCCCAGAGAAGCTAAATTCTTTTTAAGTTCCTTGTAATCACTGCTGAATTTTGGGCAGGGGGTGGATGTGGTGGTAAAGAGTACCTGATCCTTCTAACGGAGAGGGCTCTATACTGATTTTCTTTATTCTGATGTCATCTTCTGCTAGTCACAGGAGGAGACTGGCTAAAATTGAATAGCCTGTGAGAAATTCAGTGTTCAGATCTCACAGTTCTCAGCTCTCTCGTTTGCACAGCAGCAGGTCAGGCCAAGAATTTCCAAGCATGTGGCGTCACAGATAGCACCATATGAAGGAATGTTTGCCCATGGGTTATATATCAAAAACTGCATTTCAGTGTATATTACCTCTCACCAATAAATACATTTTTAATATCACCCATCTTACTAATTGCTGCTAAGCCATGCCTGAAGTTAAAACAAATGACAGATATGACCATGTTTTCTAAACATACATTTTATTATTAGGAAGCTTAGATACAGTTCCAGCTACTGTTTGCAGTCCAACATTAGGCATTACTAAAGAAATTGACCTTGTAGATTCACAGGTTTCTTGTTGCTAAATACTTTGGGAGCATAGGTCATGGGAAGGAAAGCCATTAGCTGTGAAGCAGCTATATTATCTGGTCTGTTTTTATTTGCCAACAAGCAACCCCTGAAATAAGGCCAGGTTGGACAAGGCCTTGGGGGATATGGTTTAGAGCGAGGTGTCCCTGCCCATGGCAGGGGGGTTGGAACTTGATGATCTTAAGGTCCTTTCCAACCCTAACTATTCTATGATTCTATTCTATGATTCTATTTGGGAATGGTAGTGGTAGAAAATAACGTGTTAAGGATTGCATGGTTGTGAAGATAAAACATTTTTGTGAGGAAGTAAGCAGTAGATAGTACTTCATGCTATTAATAGCTTCTAAGGAAAGATACCATGTCCCAAGAGCAAAAGCATAGTTGTAGTCTGCTGCAGAGAGAACTTATCTAAACGTGGTCCCCACAGAGGCTGCTGATTGTTTCCATTTACTCTCTAAGTCAAATGTGTTTTTTCCACTTCAGCACGGGATCAATTATACACATCTCTAAAAGCCTACAGGTACAAACACTTCAAATGCAACAGACCACAAGGCACATGCATTTCTGATTTGAGGAACTGAAGGTGAACTGAATTTGTATCTCTTTATGCATCAGTAATATTTAGAAGAGAAAATATCCAGCTTTGGTGAGTGATGACCCATGAAGGTTGCATTAAGAATGGTTGAAGTGACATAGATTCCTTCCAAGCAGCATTTTAGATGCTTCAGTCGTGCTTCTACCAAATTCACAAAGGGAGATGGAAAGATTTTCCCTGACTTCCACAAATAATCAACAATGCCATGCCCATATCCTGAAGTAGTTCTGAGTAAGAATGAGGAGCAGCAACACAAATCACTGCTATCAGCAGAATAGTGTGGATGTATGCAAGGCCCAGGTTCCAGACTGAAACATAGAGCAAAAGAATAAATGCCAAGGAATGGGAGGGAAAGTTTCTCTGTGGCTGTCCGTACTTGCTTAGCTTTCACCCATACCCAGTGCTTTTCTCAAGGGTGGAATCATAGAATCATAGAATAGTTAGGGTTGGAAAGGACCTCAAGATCATCAAGTTCCAACCCCCCTGCCATGGGCAGGGACACCTCACACTAAACCATATCAGCCAAGGCCTCGTCCAACCTGGCCTTGAACACTGCCAGGGATGGAGCATTCACAACCTCCTTGGGCAACCCATTCCAGTGCCTCAGCACCCTCACAGTAAAGAACTTCCTCCTTATATCCAATCTAAACTTCCCCTGTTTAAGTTTTAACCCATTACCCTTTGTCCTATCACTACAGTCCCTAATGAAGAGTCCATCCCCAGCATCCCTATAGGCCCCCTTCAGATACTGGAAGGCTGCTATGAGGTCTCCACGCAGCCTTCTCTTCTCCAGGCTAAACAACCCCAACTTTCTCAGCCTATCTTCATATGGGAGGTGCTCCAGTCCCCTGATCATCCTTGTGGCCCTCCTCTGGATTTGTTCCAACAGTTCCATGTCCTTTTTCTATTGAGGACACCAGAACTGCACACAATATTTTTCATTCAAAGAAAAATTACTTTTTGCCAATTTCCCAAAAGCCCTAAATTTAAGGGTAAAACTCAGTACTGGAAGGCCAGAAGGCAAAGCTCCTCCCTTAGCACCAAGTCCTTCAGAAACATGGAGAAACTGCAAATGTGACAGCAGCAAAAGAAAGAGGGTTCTGTGACTGGAAAATGTCTAATTAAATAGAAAAAACTACAGAAGATTTTAAAAGCAACTCATTGAATTTTACATGACAGTGGAAGCCAAGAAAAGCAGAATAAAACAAAATAAAAAGGAGCTTGTTAGTGGTTTTATAGATATTCTCCATGTGCATTAATATCTGTCCTTCTTCCTGTACAAAGACAATAGTTGAGCCTGAAGCTGTTAGCATAGAATTTACTGCTGTTAATGATCTGTCCATGGCAACCACTCCCTTGTCTCAGATGTGTCTTAAGTCAGGATTTTAGCTGTAAATAGTACCTTTGTAGTGGTTAGGCAAAAAACTGAGCTTAAATGCAGGAGACAGCTGCTGTAGATCAGCTGTTATAGCTGGGAGGAGGTGTAGAGAGTTATCTTAAGGTTTGGAAGCTCCATCTGCGTGCAGTCTGTCATCAGCCCTGACCTTTAGGAGCTTGATATTAGTCAAACAGAGTGACTGCTGACCCAGCCCTCATGACACACCAACCACCACTGCAGCTCCAGCTCTCTTACATGCTAAAGATTTCTAAAGGCACCCTTAATCTCCAGGTTCTATTATTTTCAACAGGTGATGCAGCTGGAGCAGAACTCTTCTGATAGCAGTCATGCTGTGTAGAAAAACTAAGGTAAATTGACCTGACACTCTGCAATAAGTAGAGCAAAGAGTTACTCATTTCAGGAGCTGTTGGTAGGAATGTGCTGGACCTCCACATTTTATACTCATTACATATGACACATCACAGATATTTATTTAAATCATGGATTTTGCTCATGATCTCGTTACCAATTCAATTCAAGCAGTCAATGATCTTGTGAAGCCATGAGCTTTTTCCACTGATTTATCAGCAACTGTGACTTCTATTTGCCCTCAGCACCAGAAGTCCCGCCTGAGAAGCCAGCTGCATTGTGTTGCCAGTTTCCATCCTTTCAGGTTGGATCAAATGAGATACTGACTCAGCAGATCTTACAGAAGATTTTACTGTGATCATCATTAAAGTGCCTTTGCCCTTTTAATCGCAACAGCTCTGCTTGAAATTGCAGTGGTTTACTTCTTTGCAACTGGTTCTCCTGGTGTTGGTTATGTCAGGAGGATGGAAAATCCAGCGCTCACAGGTACATGTAGGTGCTAAGGGCTGAATGCAAGCTGTCCTAGTACTCAATTGCTCCTTCCATATTAGCATAACACCATAGCATTCACAGTAGTTCTACTTTGGTTTTAGCTTCATATCAGAGGCTTAAAATCAGTGGTTCCAGGTCTTTTACACCTCTCTTACATTATGCTCTACACACTGCAAGGATGGATGCTCTACATTGGTACTGAATTTCTGAGTCACTTCATAATATTTATTTCACTCAAGAAATCACAAAACCCCCTTTTCCATAACTGAGTGATTTTTCTTCCTTTTTATTTCCCTCCCACCCCCATGCCCCCTGCCTCTCTGGAGGCCTGCTTCAGCTGTTAACATCTTGATATTATGCCTGAGAACTACTCTATTTCTTTTTTTTTTATTTACCTTTTAATTAAATTTTAAATTTAAACCTTCATTTTCCTGTCTTATTCCAAACTTTATCTAAGGTCAGCTAATGCACTCACTAAATCCTGCTTAAGGGTGTTAGTGCCCCTTCTACCCCAGTGTGATGAACATCCCAAGGATGTTCAAACTGGGGATAACTTCTCTGCTAACTTTGCCAGCTTGTTGGGATCAGGGAAATTGCATGTGGCAAGAATCTGGACCAGGTAAGAACCTTCTGGAGAACAACCTAATTCTAAGCTTTCTTAGTTTAATTCTGGACTTGCTCCTGAACACCATATTCATGTAAAACAGACTAATTAGATCCCAAGATTGTGTTTTTAGTGTATGTTATACTGAACCTTGTTTTCTTATCGTAAAAAAAAGAGCTGCAGAAAGACTGTTGTGTGTTTTCCTTCTGCGGTTAATGCTATTGTGTGTTACTTGCCACAGGTTGCAGGTTTGCAAAAACAGACCCTACTCAAGACGTTTTGAGGGTCTCCCCAGTGACATTCACACCTAAGCTGAAGTAACGCGGCTCCAAGATCTCCTCAGGAGCTCCAGGTAAGGCTTTGCTCTCTTTCCAGTATGGACCTCCTCCTCCTGGATGAAACAGGGCAATGAGACCAGCTCCTCTGTCCCACTGGGCTGATTTCAGAACTGTGGTAATTTGTGTTGTGCACGGACACCTGGTTAGGGTTAATGTCACCTTTGAATTTGTTTCAACAAAACACTATCTATAGTAGAAGTGGGTTGACTCAAGGCATAGTGAGAATGGACCAGAGCTCATTACTGCTGTTAATCTTTGTTCACTAATTAAAGCAACAGAACATGGTCTTGCTCTCTGCACTGCTTCCTATTACAGAGAAAGTATTAATTTCATCCGTAGCAGCAGGAGGACATTGGCAAGAGATGCTTGGATCTGAGGAGGTTTCCGGCTTTGTTCTCGCCTGTTTCTGAACATCTGCTGGGGTAGGTGGCTGCTTCAGGGGGGAGTGAAAATTAACTTTATTGATTGAGTAATTTCCTTTATAAAGGATCTGAAGGGGATGGCTGCCTGCAGAAATAATATTTGTGAAATGGCCATATTTGCAAAATGAGTCACTGAGAAAATAGCATGCAAATCCCCCAGCTTATTTCCAGCAGGGAAGGAACAGAGACGTGCTAGAAAGGGGGACACATGCTGACTTGGAGATGGCAAACTAAAATGGACCTAACAGGAATCTTGCTTAATTTTGAACTGAAAAATCAATCAGGAAAACGTTGGAAGTGGCCATTTCAAGTGCTAAAACTTTTCCTAAGTTTAAAAAAAAAAAAACAACTTTTCCTAAGTTAAAAAAAAAAATTGCACTGAAATGTTTGTGCACCTGCAAATTGTATTCAGAAGTGTCCACTAATGGCCGGTAGGCGAGGTTTTGCAGCTCTACCCTTTACCTACCTTCACCTACTTTTCCTAGGAAAAAGCCCTAAAGGAGAGCAGAGTATTGCATTTAAGGTATGAATAATGAGAGAAAGGAAAAGAAACATCTTTGTCTTGTAGGAGCTACAGCAGCAAAGTACGCAAGGCTGGCGAAGTCTCAGAGAATTAAACTATCTCTCAGAGAAATGCTTGGGTTTCAGACCGCTAGGCAGCAGCCCATTTAATTAGCTACGGTTAGCGTCTCTTTAGCAGCTTTGCCACCGCTGACCTTTCTCATTTGCTGTGGGTCTTTGTGGAGGACATTTTCAATAGTCTTTTGTCCTGGCAGCTGGCTCTTTAAACCCAGGAGCAGACTGAAATAGTTTCTACCTTCTACTGCTAGTTTGTGGATGTCTTGGGTCTCATTTTCTCTTGTGTTCCTGAAGAGATGCCATGGCCTCACTTGGCTTTATGATGATGTGAGGTTGGAGTGACTGCTGGGGAAGTGATAATGATTGCTGTTTGGAAACTCTGGGAGAGAGGAAGAGTCGGAGAAGAGACCGGCAGCAACTGGATGCAAAGTTACATCCTTGCTTTTGTCCTTGGCCCTGGAACTGGGGTGGGAAACGGTAGATGAAACAACATGAAATCTGATATTTACTAAGTAAGCTTTTAAATCTCATGCATTAGTCTGGGAGGCTGCCCATGGAGCAGAATAGCTCTGCGCTGATGCAACTGAAATGTTCCCAGCCAGAGCTAAAACCAAAACATCTCAGCACCAGGAAGGAGTTCACAGTAAGATGTCATAGGGGTGAGCAGCCACTCTGGGTATGCTGTGGGAGCCCCTGTGCTCAGGAATGCCATGTTCTGGGGAGCTCCTGCGACTACGCTAGCAGCTGGGAAATGCTTTGAGGCCTTAGGTGGGAAGCTATAGAAGGTTTACAGCAGTGTTACTCACTTTCACTGCAAATCACTTCCCACCCTGCTGTGTAGTAGTCCTCCCATCAGTAGTAGTCCTCTTTTGAAAATGCATGCAGTAAGCAAAGCAAGCCCTCCTGCTTTGCTGAGCAGCTACACAGCACTGGGAAGGACCAGGTGATGTGGCTGTGCCCAGGCATCAGCATGTGCATGTCTCTTCCCTCTTGGTGGGCACTGATTTACCTCACATCCGTGCTCCTCTTCATGAAACTGTTCTGTGATTGGGAGACAGTGGAATCCAGTCCAGGGAGAGAGGAAACAGCCTCAAGTTGCACCAGGGAAAGTTTAGATTGGATATTGGGAAAAATTCCTTCACCAAAAGGGTTGTCAAGCATTGGAACAGGCTGCCCAGGGAAGTGGTGGAGTCACCTTCCCTGGAGGTGGTTAAAAGACATGTAGATGTGGCAGGTAGAGACATGGTTAGTGGTGGACTTGGCAGTGTTAGGTTTGCAGTTGGACTTGATGATCTTAAATGTCTTCCAACCTAAACAATTGTATGATTCCTAAGGTTATGACAGGAAACCAGTTGATCAGAGCAGTACTGAAGTATAGTGCTGCAAAAATGACCACCAAAGGGAGGATTGCAAGGTGTGAAATACGCACAAAGTCAAGCTGGAGCACAACAAGCTATAATGGGGTGTGTTGGGGATGACCCTTCACTGGGGACAAAGGTTGTCACAAACCCAAATCATTTAAACAAATACAACTGCCCACATGTCAGAGGACATTAGTACTGGCCAGTGAGGGTTCTGGCAACTCTTTAAAACATGATCCTTCTAAGAATAATATTTAAACCCTCTATTTACAGTAAGGGTTGTGTTGCGGCCCTGTACTGTAGAGCATTGTTATCCTTTTTCTGTTTGCTTTAATAAAGATGGATATATCACCCTCATGTCCCAGTGACACACAAATCAGGTTATTTCCTTCTAGCTGAAGCTTCCTCTATGTCTTAATTGGATGTACTTTAATTTGCCTTGTGAGGCTGGGGAAGAGGAACATGCTGTGCAGAAAATCCTGCCCAGTCCTGGTCATGTAGGAAGTGTAATGAACAGGCTGCCTAGGTTGATCCATCAGTTCCTTTGGTCTGCCCCAAAGCCTCCATTTCAGTGCCCATCAGCTTGCAGAAGAAGAGAAAATAATTTAGCATTGCATAAAACATTTGCACGGTACTTGCAGATGGATGAAGATCTGCATTACTGTATCTAATGTAACACAACCATTTAAATGGCCACCATGTTTATAAGTTCCTAACATCTTCCACTGGCAGCATATTCAAAATTTGAAGTAGGTATCGCTAGTGCTCTTCTTACACTAGCCGCATTGCCTTGAGCTGTGCCCTTTCTGTTAGATGCTACCTAGATAGCAGCTAGCTCCTGTCCTGGGGCTGTTAAAGGGAAGTGAGAAAAGTATCACTCCAGATCTCTGTTCCAAAATGGCAAACATTAATCTGCTTGGGCATTGGATTTGGTGTAGAGGGATCAAGTCAGTTACACTTGTATGAAGAGCAACTTCAAATAACCCCGGCTTTGCTGCATTTCCTGTAGTAGATTTACTCCAGCTCTGTATAGACTTCAACAGAGGAACAAATGACTCTTGTTGAGTTGACCACAACTGGCTCCATATGCAAAAAACAAAATCCCACCTTTAAAATAAAAATAAATGAAATAAAAATAAATAAAATAATTTAAAAACCCAAGCCAAACCAAACCAACAAACAATCAAAAGCCAAACCCAACACACTTTATTGTCTTTCAGCCTGCACTCTCGTGTATTTGGGCTTACTTCCAATAGCAAGACCAGCACGTTGTTTTAATCAACTGCAATTATTGACAAATAGGTTAATTCAGTGGTGAGCCATTAAAATGGGGGGACTGAGGAGGAGGCTGAGCATATGACAAAAGAAGAGCTAAAGGGGTGGTGGGTTTGTTTATCCTGGAACAGAAAGGGTTGGGGGGACTCTAACTGCATTATTCTGCTACCCAGAGGTGCTGGAGAGCTGAAAGAGTAATTTCAGTAAACAGAAACTTTATTAAATACTAAAATTCTTTGTAGGCAAAGGAACAGGGGCTCTCACTGGGTTACGCAGCACTGAGAATTAGAATATGCCTGTGTTCCTCTAATACCTGTTTACTGCTAGAAGAAAGCCAGCTTAAGTAGTGTTCATCACATACTCCCCCCTCATTAAATCCCAGGGATTTTCAGTGTTCTTGCAGTTTCTGAACACGTATTGCAGCCTCGGAGCTGCTGTCCTGACAGTGGGTGGTAAAAAATAAAAAGCTTCAAGTTAGAAGCCCAAGTTTCATGGGAACTGTAAATGTCTCAATGAATTTCAGTAGATCTTTAAGCAAGCAAAGTAAAAGACTGCCCCAATTCCTCTGTGTAATCAGTTTCAACATTTATGACTCAGACTATGAAACATGCAATGCTGAATCATTCACTCTGGGCCGAGAAGGAAAATAAGGCTGTGTATCTCACCACAGTCTGAGTAATTATTGCAGGACAGTGGTGGTAGGTTGAACTAAAAATCCTGTTAGTGTAAATCAACTGAAATTAGCAAAACGTAGCAGGCTTGGGCATACTCCATTTCATAGTTTGTTTTGGGTTTTTTTGATTGCACTTTTCTCAAAGCACAGGGAAAGCTGAAGTGAAAATATGTCTGTTTGTGTTGAATCAACATGATGTAACATGGTAACTTATTTCAGATTCTTTTGATGTTTGGCACACAAGGCTGTCAGGTTTAAAGGACTGGAAGGGTCACAGCCTTTCCAGCTCCTAGGCCTTTGCTATGGATGCCTGAAGTGGTCATCGTTTGACACCTTCACAGTAGCCTACAAAATTCAGCACATGATCTAAGCCCACTTTGTGAATATCTGTAGACATTTTTGCAGAAAGATCATGCCCTCAGCCAGCTTTTTGGTAGTTTGATGAGCCCTGAGTAACCCAGGCCTGGTGCCAACATTGCATGAAAAGAAGTTATGGGGGTATCCTGGGTTCAGCAGTAGAAGTCATTTTTCTCCTTCTTAGTAGCTGGTGCAGTGCTGTGTTTTTGACTTTCAGCCTGGGAACAGCACTGATAACACCAATGTTTTAGCTCAGTAATGTTTACTCTGACCAAGGACTTTCTGAGTCTCAAGCTCTGCCAGGGAGGAGGGGAAGCCGGGAGGAAGCAGAGACAGGACACCTGACC